CAAATCTGCCTTATTGCAATCACCAATGACCTTCATTTTGCTTTAATCCATTGGTCAATTCTCAGGCTTCATCCTACTTGATATTTTAGTAGAATCTGACCGTTTACCACTCTTTCCTCCTCCTCCTCCAAACTCTTTATTTGGCTTCAAGGTCACAACAGTCTCTTGGTTCCCTCCTTCATGTCTTTGCTATTCTTTCTCCTTTGCTGGTTCCTCTCATCTCCTTGACCTTTAAATTTTGGAGTTTCCCATGGCTAATGCTTGGACTTTTTCTCCTTTTGATCCTTACACACTCCCTTGGTGATCTTCTGCATATGACCTGGGTTTTAAATACTATCTATAAGCCGATGACACCCAGATTTGTATCTCCACTTGGATGGGTAATAATTCAACGTGACTGAAATTGAGCTACCGACCCAATGCCTGAAACCTGCTTCTCTTTGTAGTCTTCCCAGCTCAGGAAGTGGCAACATCATGCTTCTACTTCCTCAGGCCCCACACTTTTGAGTGTCTTTCTTTCTCTCATACCCTACTTCCAACTCTTTTAAAAGGTAAGTCAGGCTACCATGACATCTGTCTCTTTTTGATAGCTTCCAATCCCATTCTGAGGAAATGCCGAAGACCTCTCAATAGCCTCCAAAGCACACTGGGACCTGACTCACTCCTCACCCCCTTACCTCTCTGAAACACACTCACGCCTTGTACTTGTTCATTCTTCCCGAATGTTCTTGTCCCAGAGATTTGCACGGCTCACTCCTTCACCTCCTTCTGGCCCTTATTTAATTGTCACTTAACTAAAATTATTGTCCACCATATCTAAAATTACAACCTTTCCATACTTCCTGTCTTCCTCCCCACTTTATATTTTTAAAAATTTGGGGGGTTTTGTTTTTAAAATTAATACACTTTATTTCTTGGAGCATTTTCAGGTTTGCAGAAAAATCAAGCAGGAAGTAAAGAGTTCCCATGTATTCTCCCCCTCCAGTTTCCCCTATTATTAGCATCTTACATTGCTGTGGTACATTTTTGTTACCACTGATCAACCAATATGGATACATTATTTATTTTTCTTTAAATTTTTCATAAAAAATTGTGGGGAGGAGGAGTCTTCCACTGAGGACCAGAAAACCTGCTAGACAACTTCTAAAAGAGCTGTAACGCTTGGATACATTATTATTAACTAAAGCCTACAGTTTACATTAAGGTTCACTCTGTGTTGTACATTCCATGGCTTTTGACAGTTGTATAATGTAATGTATCCATTATCACAGTATCACACAGAATAGTCTCAGTGCCCTAAAAGTCCCCTGTGCTCCACCTATTCCTCTCTCTCTCCCTCCACCTGAACCCTCCGCAACCTCTGGTCTTTCCACGTCTCCATAGTTCTGCCTTTTCCAGAATGGAATCATACAGTATGCACCCTTTTCAGATGGGCTTCTTTCACTTAGTCACACACATCGAGGATTCCTCCCTGTCTTTTCACGGCTTGCTAGCTCTGCTTTGTTTTTTTCCTTGGCAGCTCTCATTCTAACAGTTGTTTGTCTTCGCCTCAGGAACGTATGTTTCCTGACGGGGAATCTCGTCTGCTTTGTTCACTGCTGTATCCCCAGCGCCTGAACAGTGCTTGACTCACACATGGTGTTCAAGAAATGTTGGTTGATTTAAACTTTTCTTAAATGAATGGTGATGGAAGAACAAGCTATTCTATCCAGGACCCTCCTGGCCAGGGAATTTGTATAGTGTTTAGCTTTCTGGACTTCTAGAATTTCAACTCCACTGTCTCTGACTTTGGATGAGTCACCTGACTTAATCTGTTTGTGCCTCGATTTTTTCTTCAGTAAAACAGAGATATAATAATAGTACCTCCCGGCTGGGCGCAGTGGCTCACGCCAGGAATCCTAACACTCTGGGAGGTCGAGGCGGGAGGATCGCTCGAGGTCAGGAGTTCCAGACCAGACTGAGTGAGAGTGACACGCCCCCGCATCTCTACAAAAGTAGAAAAATTAGCCCGGGCGTGGTGACACGCGGCTGTAGTCCCAGCTAACTTGGGAGACTGAGGCAGGAGGATCGCTTGAGCCCAGGAGTGGGAGGTTGCAGAGAGCTATGATGAAGCCACAGCACTCTAGCTGGGGCGATGGAGCGAGACTCTGTCTCAAAAAAAAAACCAAAACAAACAAAAAGACTAAGAAATAATAGTACCTCCCTCCACGGTTGTGGCAAGGATTGACTGAGTTCATATACATAAAGTTCTAATAAACCCCGCACATAATACGCGTATACGAGTAGCTTTGTTATTCCAAACAGGGACCTGGGGTAGGAGGTGGGAATGGCGTGCCGGGCGCTTCCATCCAGCTCGGGATTCTAAACGGGTTGTTCGGAGGAGGAAGAGCGCTGGGAGCCGGAGCAAGGCGGGAGGGGGAGGCTGGGGGGAGGAGGGCGCACTAATGTCATTTGCCAATTATTTTACAAAACACTTTCACATTCTAAACTCTTTCAATCCTCACAAAATTAATCTTGTCGGGTGGATGTTATAATCCCCATTTTACCCATGAGAAAACAGGTTCCGGGAGGTTGAGCGACTTGCCCGATGCCGCCATATGGTAAGTGGTGGCCCCAAAATTCCCACCCAGAAGCTCTCCTTCACACTTGGATGCAGCACGAAAATTCTCAGGGCGCACCTAAGAGCCTGGGTCTAGTGTTCTGGGACCAGGGGGTTAACAAAACCACCTTTAAAAACGACGCCGCTCGTGAGCGGCTGCCTGTGCCGTAGGCTGCGGAGGCGTCCGGGCGGGCTCCAGTGTGCACAAGGTGGCACACCGGCCATGCAGATGAATTCTGCAAGTAGAATGCTGATTAGAGCATCAAAGTTATTCATTTTCCGAGCAACTCCTCCCTTTCCCCCGCCTCCAGGGGGTGGGGCGACAAAGCGCGGGAAAACTCGGCCTCGACCCCACCCCCCTACCTGTGCTGGGGGCGGGGAAAGGCGAGCTCTCAAATGGGAAACGGATCTGGGGCCCCTCCCTCCCATGCTCAGGAAGCCTATTCGTTGCCGCTTTAAGATCCCTTTGGAAATGGGCCAAGCCACGCCAGCACTCCTAACGTCACCTGTCCCCCACTTCCGGTCCGCAAGCCCTTCCCAGCGTTAAGGTCCCGGTTCCTTCCAAACTCCGAATCCTATGCTTTTTCCGAGCCCTCCCGCAGAGGGAGGGGCTATGGGTGACTCCATCGCCCAGGAGCTGGCCCGCGCAAGGACCCCATCCATGCAGATTATATGACAATTTAGACAGTGGGAAGACTGCGAGGAAATAGTCAACCGGATGACGTAATGTTTGGGGTGGCGTCCCATTCTGTGATTTCTGCCCGGCATCATTGACACTGGGGTTTAGTTTCAAAAAGAACAAATGGATCGACACTTCCGGGTTCCGACTCGATGAAGTTCTGCTCCAAGTGCTCACCACGCAGGGGCTGAGTTCCTTATATTTGCATAAGTGAACAGCAGCCTCAAGCTTCCAGCGCCAATAGGGAGTGAGGGGGCGGAGACGCACCTGGTACAGTCTCCCTTCCAGTAGGAAAGCCCGGAGTCAGGCTGGCTTCTCTCTAAGCGACAGGGACGGAGGCCAATCGTTTCTGAGATGTGCAGATGGGGCAGGTGGACCTCGGCGCAGCCAATGAGGAGCGGTATCTTCAGGGGGCCTAGGCCCCGTGCCCAATGAGGATAAGAGGACCGTGCGGGGCCAGTACCGAGCGGCAGTACTTAAGGCCAACCCCGCGCGGGGGTGGGAGGGGCGCAACGCTGAACGACGCGGGTGCGGGCCAATGGCGAGTGTGAAAGCGGGCAGTCCAGGCCCGGAGCGCGGAGGGAGCTGAGGGAGGGGGGAGGCTGAACCGGAGAGAAGCAGGAAGTAGCGGCGGCCGTCGGGAGGGCGGCGGCGGCGGCGGCGGTGGCGGCTGGAGCCGGGTAGAGACCGCCGGGTCTCGGCCCGCCAGAGGAGCAGAACAAGTAAGTGTGCCTGGGGTAAATACCCGCCCTTGGCCCCGCCCCCTGGGGGGGCGGGTAAATACCCCCGCCCCTCCCCCACTTGGTCAACTACCCCCTTTCCGCGCCGCCCCCTGGGGCGGCTTCTAGGAAGGCCCAGACGCCGCCTCCATCCCTTAGGGTGGGTGGGCGAAACTCCAAGCCTGTTGAAAGCACAGCCCTTAGCCGAGTAAACCTAGAACGAGAGTCGGGGATCCCAAGTCCTGGCGCCCCCAGCCCAAGAGGCGCCCGAAGTGCGGCCCGGGGACTGGAGGCTGCGGGATGTCGCGACCTAAAATGGTGTCCGTGTCCGGGGGTGGGGGCGGGGGAACTGGACCAGGCCGGAGCTGAGCCTGCACCCCGACTGGGCGCGGGTCAGCGTCCGGGCCCGAGCAGTACTCGGGTTCGCGCCCTGGGCCCGCCGCGCGCTTTCCGATCACTCCTCTGTCTCTAGAGACTCCGGGAGTCCGCGCCGGGAGCAGGCTGCACTGCGCACAGAGGGGAGGGGACGAGGTCCGAGTTGGAACGGACGCGGGCTGGAGAGCTGAGAGTCATGCTGAGACCGCCCTCTTCCCACTCCCCCTCTTTTCGTGCGTCCTCCCTTCCTGTGCAGTCCTGGGCCCCAGGGTGCTGCGCAGCAGCTCCCAAAGGGCCTGGCCTGGCTGAGGCTCGGTCTTCACTTCGCACGCCGGTGGGAGCAAGAGAAGCGCCGCGCGCCTCAGTTTCCCCTCTAGCTTCTCTTAAGTACACCCCGCCCCCTGATCGCAACCCCAGACCTGCTCCCCGCGCCGGCCCATGGCAGATGGCAGGGACTTAATTCCACCCGCTGCCCAGCTTGGCCGCAACCTAATCGCGGGCCCTTCGCCCTGCTCTGCGCAGCAGGCCTTGGGCCTGGGCAGAGAGCAGTGGAGCCCCCACCCTACCTGATTCTGTTCACCCTCTTCCTGTACAGCCCCTTCCTTTGGCTTTTGGGGAAGAACAGAGGGAAAAGAGGGCGGGGGAGATGGGAGCCCTAGGGACAGGGTGCAACAGTGGCAGAAAGGCCTAGGTGTGGGGTGGGGGAGTCTCCTTGGCCTTGAGGTCCCTGCTTAGTCAACTGTCTGCTCTGGGTGGGTGGTAATTGGATGACTTCTAAGTCACTTGGATGCCAGAGGGGGAGGTGGTTGGGGGAGGCGAGTTCGCAGGTGTTTTCTTGTAGTCCCCCCTGGCCTGAGCTTTACCAGCCCACTCTCCTGAGGCCTGAGTGGAAGGTCGCTCGGGCCTGTTTGGTCCGGGAGGGAGCCAGACTGAGGATGGCCCTGTGGATTCATCAGGGCTGGGACAAGGCATGAAGGGCTTTGTTTAAGCACAGAGTCTGCAGAATTAAATGAAGGGGTGAGGTGAGGGGAGGACTCCTACTTTCTTCTTCTAGTTGGCACCCTTTCCCCCCACCCCCACCTTGGTCCCCAACAATGCCAGCTGCCACCTGCTGGGACTGTCTCCAGTTACAGTCCGAAGGCTGGAAAGAGGTGAGAGAATTTGCCCTAGGAAATGGCTTGCATCCTGGGCAGGGAATGTGTAAGGATAGAGACTTCTTTAGTTGCTCTTTGAGAAGAGAAACACTTATGGGGAGAGAAACTGGTAGGGGACAGACCTGGGTCCCCCACACACTCCGAGCTGGCCTCCTTGTTGATTTAGTGCCACATAAGTCTTGTGCAATTTTTTTTTTGCGCTGGGCGAGGTTGGGGTTGGTTGAGACTTCTGGCCTACTGTTGCCAAAGGAAGATTGCGAGGGCAAGGAGTTTGAGTCGGGGGGTAGACTGAGGTGAGGAGCCTGGCTTGTCCCTATTGTGGCAGCTGTGCTGGATAAGCTTGTACCCTGGGGGTTTTAGCCCTGAGAGAGCAAGATGGGGAGGGCGGGCCGCTAGGGAAGGTAGTGAGCAAGCAGCAGGTGTTTGTGACAGGAGAGGCCTAGGCTGGGGCCCTTGTGACCAGGCTGCCGTCACCGTTTTCCCCTCTGTCTCTCTTCTCTTTGTCTCTTTCTGTTCCTGTATCTTATTCTTTCCATCTAGATCTCTTGGGTGATTTTACTGAGTCCATTTCTCCCTGCTGACCAAGCTAGATCTCCAGGTGCAAGTGATGGCGCCAAGTGCTCCAGACTTGACCTTATGTGACCCTTGACTCTTATCTCTGACCCCAGCCCCAGATTCCCAGTGCTTATTCCTTCCCAGCTCCTCTTTGACTTGAAGTGTCCTTGTTTGGCCCAGCTGGAATGATCAGTCTTATTCTGGGTCTGACTTTTACATTTACAGTTTCATGTCATGCTCAGAATAACCCTATGATATATAGATCACTTGCCCCTTTTTCAGACAGCCAAAGGAAGGCACCAAAGTAACTTGCTGCTATGGCAGGCCTGTGGTCAAGCTGACCCAGAATCATTTCTTAAGTCTTGGCTTAAGTCACTGCCCCTTTGTGCATGTGGTCTTTCAGATCTCTGTGGACCCCAGAAGCTCCATGAAGAATAGGAATTGTTCTATGCTGATGTGAACGAGCCTTTAAACTTAGAGCAGCATCATGTATGTCCTCCTTCTTTTTTTTTTTTTTTTTTGAGACAGAGTCTCACTCTGTTGCCCAGGCTAGAGTGCAGTGGCGTCATCCTAGCTCACAGCAACCTCAGACTCCTGGGCTTAAGCGATCCTCCTGCCTCAGCCTCCCGAGTAGCTGGGACTACAGGCATGTGCCACCATGCCCGGCTAGTTTTTTCTATATATTTTTAGTTGTCCAATTAATTTCTTTCTAATTTTAGTAGAGACAGGGTCTCGCTCTTGCTCAGGCTGGTTTCGAACTCCTGAGCTCAAACAATCCGCCCGCCTCGGCCTCCCAGAGAACTAGGATTACAGGCGTGAGCCACCGCGCCCGGCCATGTCCTCCTTCTTAATAGTAGTATCAATTGATTAGTTCTTTGCTGGGCACAGGAGGGGATGAACTGACTTCAACCAAGATGCTCACTGAGCTTCTTCTGCCTCTTTTACCTTTCTCTGTATTTTTTCTTTATTTTATTTTATATCTTTTTAGAGACACGGTCTCACTCTGTTGCCCAGGCTGGAGTGCAGTGATGCAATCATAGCTCACTGTAGCCTCCAGCTCCTGGGCTCCAGCGGTCCTCCTGCCTCAGCCTCCCAAGTGACTGGGACCATAGGTGCACATCACCACGTCCAGCTAAGTGTTTGGATTTTTTTGTAGAGACAGGATCTTGCTATGTTGCCCAGGCTGATCTCGAACTCCTGGCCTTGAGCAGTCCTCCCTCCTTGGCCTCCTAAAGTGCCGAGATTACAGATGTGAGCCACTATGCCCAGCCTTTCTCTGTATTTCTTTTTTTTCTTTTTTTTGAGACGGAGTCTCACTGTGTTGCCCGGGCTAGAGTGCCGTGGCGTCAGCCTAGCTCACAGCAACCTCAAACTCCTGGGCTCAGGCGATCCTCCTGCCTCAG